ATGTAATGTTTTAGATATATATCTGTGTTATTATTGAGTGTATCATAGTTTTTTTCTTTTATGTTGTTGAATAGTATTCCCCTATGGATATACTATAGTTTATCCATTCTCCTGTTGATAGACATTTATGGTTCCAGGTTGTGGTTGTTGTGAATAACATGAGTGTTAGTACATTCTTTGATAAGTCTTTTTGTGGGCATACATTTTTATGTTTTATTTCTCTTAGGTAACTATCCAGAAGTGGAATTGCTTGACCACAGAGTAGATATGTGTGTTCGTTTATAACAAATTGCCAAATTGTTTCCTGCCAGCAACATGAGTGTTCCAGTTATTCCATATTCTCATCAGCATTTAGTGTCATCAGTCTTTTTTATTTGAGCTATTCTATTAGGTGTTTAAAAGTATCTCATGATTTTAATTTACATTTCCCTGATAATTAATGAAAAGGTTTGAATGTACATTCGTGTGTAATTGTCTATTCATGTCTTCTTTTGAAAAACGTCTGTTCAAGTTTTTCCCCCTGATTTTTAATTAGTATGTCTTTTTTACCATCGATTTACAGGATTTTTGTTTGTTTGTTTGTTTATTCTGGATACACATCCTCTGTTAGATAATTATTTACTCAGTATTTTTTTTCCCAGACTGTGGCTTGTCTGTTTACTCTCTTAATGGTATCTTTGATGAGCAGAAAATTTTTAAATTTGATGAAGTTCAGTTTATCCATTTTGTTTCATTATAGTTTGTGCTTTTTGTCAAAGCAGTCCCTGCCAAGGGACAAAGATATTCTCTTGTGTTTCCTTCTAGAAGCTTTATGGTTCTGTGTTTTACATTTATATCTATGATTCATCTTGAATTGATTTTTGTGTATGTAATGAGATTGGGATTGAGGTTAATTTTTTTCCACATGGACATCCAGTTGTTTCAACATCATTTGTTCTAGATTGTCCTTTCCCAGTTGAACTGCCTTGGCACTTTTGTTGAAAATCAAGTGACTGTATACATATGTTCTAGTTCTAGACTCTTCTGTTCCACTGTCTATTTTTATATATTTATGCCAGTACTACAGTCTTGATTACCATAGCTTTATATTAAGTCATGAAATCATGTAAGTCCTTCAACTATGTACTTTTTGAAGATTCTTTTGCCTGTTCTAGATCCTTTGTTTTTCCATGTAAATATTATCATCATCTTGTCTACTTCTTCAGAGTGGCTCACTGGAATTCTATAGGAATTGCATAAAATTTGTGTATCAGTTTAGGAAAGATGGACAGGATCTTCCCATCATGAACATATTATTTCTTTCCATTTATTTCCATTTTTTTGACCTTGAGGCTATTGCAATTGGTAATTTCTTAAACTTTAATTTTCCAATTGTTTGTTGAAAGATTTGCTGATTTCTTAATTTTGAGTTCCTTGCTTCTAGGTGCACTTAAGTTCTTCCAGTTCCAGCAAAATGCATTTCAGCTTAGTATTGGTAACAAATAGAAGTTAAAATAATTGAACTTTGCAACACTGATTTTAGTACATACCTATTCTGTTAATTAAGAGTATCAATATTTTCTGTATTTGATTGGTGAGTGTTTTCCTCAGAACTCCCTGCTGTTTGTATGATTTAGCCGGCATTTTTCTAAAGTAAGGAAGCTCATGCTATCTTTTTGTGGCTGTTTCTGGCTCCTCAGTTAGTAAGTCAGCCCCTGGAACACAGAATGCTATAGATTTTCTGTCTTTCATTGGGTCATTGAGTGAATGAAGTAGGAATAGCTTTGGGCTCTCAACAGTGGGAAAGTTTGGCTAGTGGGATTCAAAGTGAAGAAGAGCAAAGAATAAGCCTTGACGGGACTTGCTGGTGGTGCAGTGGATAAGAATCCTCCTGCCAGTGCAGAGGACATGGGTTCGAGCCCCGGTCCGGGAAGATCCCACATGCCGTGGAGCATCTAAGCCCGTGCGCCACAACTACTGAGCCTGCACGCCTAGAGCCCGTGCTCTGCAACAAGAGAAGTCACTGCAATGAGAAGCCCGCGCTGCAATGGAGAGTAGCCCCCTCTCGCCGCAGCTAGAGAAAGCCTGCGCGGAGCAATGAAGACCCAACACAGCCCCCCGAAAAAAGAAACCTTAAAAAATAAAATAAAATAAACCTTGACAACAGAGGAAAATGACTGTGGTCCTTGTGGTGCTAGTGAATGCTTGAGCCTGCCTCTCATGGGAGGGCTCCAATATAGAAATAGTAGGAAAAATTAACGTTCATTGGGATCAGAAAGTCTTGGAACCTAGTATTAGAGGCTTGATTTTTGTGTGCAGTAAAGAATCTTTGCATATTTTAAGTTAAGAATGTGTATAATGGACTTCCCTGGTGGTGCAGTGGTTAAGAATCCATCTGCCAATGCAGGGGTCATGGGTTGGAGCCCTGGTCTGGGAAGATCCCACATGCTGCGGAGCAACTAAGCCTGTGCGCCACAACTACTGAGCCTGCACTCCAGAGCCTGTGAGCCACAACTACTGAGCCCTTGTGCCACAACTACTGAAGCCCGCACGCCTAGAGCCCATGCCCCACAGCAAGAGAAGCCACCACAGTGAGAAGCCTGCGCACCACAACGAAGCATATCCCCCGCTCACTGCAACTAGAGAAAGCCTGTGTGCAGCAATGAAGACCCAACTTGGCCAAAAATAAATAAATAAATAAATAAATAAATATAAATGTACATAATAATGACACCATTTTATTAATAGACCTTTAATTGAAATATCTTTAGAAGTTGTTGTGTCTGTTATATTCTAGTTTTAAACTGTAGATGTATTTAGATTGTGTATAATTTCTTGTGGCCGCTGAAGTAAATTACCACAAACTTGGTGGCTTAAAACAACAGAAATTTATTCTTTCACAATTCTGGAGGCTAGAAGTCCAAAATCAGTATAACTGGGCCAAAATCAAAGTATTGGCTGGGCCACCATTCCTCTAGAGGCTCTAGGGGGAGAGTCCATTCCTTGTCTCTTTTAGCATCTGGTGGCTGCCAGCATTCCTTGGCTTATGGTCTCATCACTCCAGTCTTTAAGGCCAGTATTTAAAATCTCTCTGCACAGTCTTCACATCACCTTCCCCTCTGTGTGTCACATCTCCCTCTGCCTCTTTCTTATAAAAATTCTTTGATTATATTTAGGACCCACCTGCACAGTTCAGGATAATCTTCTCAATCTTTAACTTAATTCACATCTACAAAGACCCCTTTTCCAAATGAGGTAACATTTACAGGAACTAGGGATTAGGGCCTGATATTTTTGGGGGCTATTATCAGCCTACCACAGAATATTATCTTTTTTAGACCTTCATTTTGTTCTGGAACTTTCTGTCAAAGCAGATTGGACTGAGGATTTTGGTACCCCAAATGACATACTTATTTTCTTGCTATAACTTTCATTTTTTAATTAAAACCTATATCACAGCATAAAATTTATTGCATTCTGTTAGCACAACAGAATAGATCTAAAAGCCTCAGATGGTGAATTACTTATTTAAAATAATAGGAAAATACCAAATTAGGGAAAATGATTGAATTGTGCTTTGACTACCATAGAACTGATACATGACTCAAAATTTAGTGATAGCTTTTAGTTTGGGGCAGCCAGGAACTAATTCTTGGTTTTGTAGGGCTTTCTTGGTCGGGTTGGTGTATGATTAGTCCATTGTGTTCTGTTCATTGCACCAAGTGGCCTATTAGAAATTACCTATCTTCTAGTCTGTACTTCTGTGATACAGCTGCTAGATTAGAATGGTTTCTCTAGGGCCTTACTCAATGTTAGCGGCATACTGAGATTGCATTTTCACATGTAAGTATTGATACATCTTAAATGTATACTAGTGGTGTACTTGAGCATGTTGCATGAAATAACATTGATTCATACCAAGCTTGCTATACAGAACTTTTTCACATAGTGTTAGAAGAAGGGTTAGGTGGAGAACTTGCTGTAGCGCGTACTCTATTTTGACTTTGGTACATTACTAAATATCCTAGCTTTAAGGATTGCTTAAACCTCAGTATGGGAATAACTTTCATGAGCATCATTTGATAAATCATGGCCTAGAAAAGATGAAACAATAAAGCCTAAGTTTCCTTTTCTTCAGTCATTATATTAATTAGCTTAAATATTTAAATAGCTGGTAGATTTGGGCATAGGAGGAGGAGAGAAATAGTTTCCCCGAGGGAACATGGAAGCCTGGTTCTCTTTGTTTGCCCTGTAATCTTTCTCCCAGCATACGTGATGTTCGTTAGTTCTTCTGGGCAACCAAATATCACAGTAGCCTTTGCTCTGCTAGTGAGGATCACCAGCAGTGTGGAGAATGTTCAGCATGAAAACAAATGTAAGAAAGATTTACTAACGAATTAATTTGTATTCAGATGTTTTGTTGAGTTCTTTAAAATTGTTTCTTACAAATCTGCCCTAAAATAACCATTTTTCAATACAAATTTGTGTTTGGGGATTTATAACTTTAAAATCTTCAGGGCTGAGCCAGAAGATGAGAAGTGTTTTAATTTAAAGTAATAATTGTGTAATTTCAAAAGAAAAGCTAGTAGTAGTCCATCGTTATGATATCTACAGCCAAGCATATTGTATAAGGAGAGCTTCATACTCTGTACAGAGTTTGTACTCTTCCTCTGTCAGGTCCTGCTCGTCTGCATGTACCTATTTCTGTGTGTGTTAGTCATCCGCTCTGGGTAAATTGTCCATGAGACCAGTGATTCCATCAGCAAATTATCCAGAAAATGCTGTTTTTGCAGATTGTGACAGATCATGTCACTGGTGGATTTATAGCTACTCCAGTGCTCTAATTAACCTGGCAGTTGTCTCCGGTGCCCAACATTGTTGTCTCGTTGCTTGGCATCTTAGTTTTCATCTTCTCATTACCTTCTCTCTTAACGAAATCTCAGATTTATAGTTTTTTTTTTTAACCTACCCCCCCAACCCTCTCTACTCATCACCCCACCCCCCTTGTTTTTGATTGGCAGTATCATCCAGATAAACAAAGTGCAGATGTACCAGCAAGAACAGTGGAGGAATGTATACAGAAGTTCATCGAAGTTGACCAGGCATGGAAAATTCTAGGGAATGAAGAAACAAAAAAAGAGTATGACCTGCAGCGGCATGGTAGGTACTTGTGGTGAGGAGCCCCAGCACATTGGCAGCTCTGTGAAGCACAGTCTGCAGCCATTTCTGGGGAACGCTTTCCAACATTTGCACCAAGTTGTTATTGCCTCCTTTACTCCTTCCCTCCCGTCACTGTTTTTAATTATGCCCTATTCTTAGTAGTGATTACTATGTATCCATTGAGAAGTCAGCAAAACTACTAGGATGTGGCTTCTTGTGAAGCCATGAAAGCTACTTTTTATAACTAATGAAAAATGCTTAATTACACATTCCTAATTAATATGTTTTTTATGTTTAAAAACTTTTTATTAAATTTAATTATGTACTGATTAAACTTTTCATTGAGTACTTTTAAGACTATATACTGTATAAATGACAATCTATAGGAAGATACTATAAAGGATAACATCTTAAAGCACTCTTTGCTGTCTCTGAACTTGTTTTAGGCTAGGTTTTCATGATGATCTCCTGGATAAACTATATTCTTTGTAAGATTGTTATAAGTGATATCTTAGGAATGCACATTTCCTAAGCAATTTTAAAAGTCATTTCTTTTATGCATTTTAGAAAATAGCTTCTTAAAACAGTGACAAGCTCTTGTGAGAACGAAAGGGACAAATGTAGGTCAGGTTTGTCACACATGGACTGCAGTTACACGAAGTGATAGGCTGTCTTTCAGCACTGGCCTTGGGATAGCAGTCCCTCAGCCTTCTATCTGAACCTTCAATATGCACCCTACATGCTAATGGGGGGAGTCGATAATCAGCCACAGCCTGTGGGGAAAACACTCAGTTGCACTCTGCCATAGCGCACCAGGCTCAGCATTGACTCACATGTGTTGATAAAAGCTCACTGTCTCTGTACTTGATTATTGAATCTCCTCCCATGCCCCGCGCCAGTACACGATCAAACCTAACAAAATGATTGTAAGGCTCCTACTACTAAGGTTATGAAAATTTGGTTTGAGAAATAAGGCTTTATTTCTGAGATACAACATTATAGGTTAAAGCCAACAATATATATAGAATATCCATATCTGTTTTCAGAGGGAGTTGTATCAGTAAAATTAAGTCATTCTTACAGTTAGTGTGTGATTCCTTTGTGGAAAGACTTCATAAGCAATTTGCTTATGTACTGGGGAATTAGTTTTTAATAGTCACTTTCATAATACTAATCATCTCTAAAGCCCTTCTACTTTTTTAAGACTGATGAACTTAACAGTACTTTTTAAAAAATGTTAAGAAACCAATAAATATAACTTTGCAATGAATTTGGATTAATTTTCAAATATGGCTTGAATATTGGGTCCTCCTATTTGGTGCATTTATGTGCATCTTTCCAATGTTGTGTTTCTTCTGTAAATTCTTGCACTTCCGGCAAAAGAATGTAGAGGTGGTTTCATTTGAGAATGAATTCTATCCATAGATACATCTTTCTGACCTTGCTTCACGTGGTAAAATTTCTGTGAAAGTGTAGAAACTAATAAACATGGATGTATTGTGTGTGAGAAGTTACCTATGTTTCTAAAGTGACCAAGTTCTACTGTAGATGACAGTCTCTCATGTTGCTTTGCACATCTTTACCAGTCTTTATTCTGGGGTGCTGATTTGCTTAAGGTGAGGATAATCCACAAAACTGTATCTTAAGGAGTGTAGGGTGTGTACTTGCACTGTCGCTCTGCATTTTTGCTACTCCACAGCTTGGTACTATTAAGAACTTATCAGTGGGCTTCCCTGCTGGTGCAGTGGTTGGGAGTCCGCCTGCTGATGCAGGGGACATGGGTTCGTGCCCTGGTCCGGGAAGATCCCACATGCCGCGGAACGGCTGGGCCCTTGAGCCATGGCCGCTGAGCCTGCGCGTCCGGAGCCTGTGCTCCGCAACAGGAGAGGCCACAGCGGTGAGGGGCCTGCGGACGGGAAAAAAAAAAAAAAAAAAAAAGAACTTATCAGTGAAACTAACTAGAAACCTACTGTGGACAGAGAAGAGAGGTAGGGAGAGATCAGGAATCAAAAAATATTCTCCCTTGCTAGGGTATTGGGTGAGTAAGACCAGAAATGGGAGAAATAGGAAGCAGGGTTAAAAGTGAGCAGTAGAATTACGTGAAGGAGGTTTAAGAGATGTTAGAAGAACAAATAAGCAGCATCTTCAAGCCTTTCTCATTGCCTTTGAGAAGTCTTTGGAAATGTGGATTTCTTTTGAGCTTTGAATCCTTGGTTTAGAGGTTTTAATGGAAGGAGCTCTAGCCTACTGCATCTCAGGAGATTCTTGTAACTCATTGATGAGGTCACAACAAAGTTTAGACAAACCAAATACAGTGAGATTGGGCTTGATTCATGATTCCAATAAATAGGCAGATCTTCTGGGAATTTATATGATGTCTGTCTGCTTTGCATGTTTTTCAGGCGGGTGAGCTTTTCTAGAAGGACAGTAGAAATACAAATTTTCATGACATTTTAGTACCTCAGATCTAAGTACTAAATATTTCCTTCATTACCAGAGGCTCCAAATAGTGAGAATGCTTTGTTTCAGTTTTAAATTGAAATTGGCTTGCTGTTTAGATAAGGAATAGAAGTTTCTTATCCAGATACAACTTGCTGGTTTTAGGCCTTTCATACTAGAGCTATTTCAAAAATCTCATAATAAACCTGGTTTTGTATTGTCATTTCTCTTGATTACCGACATTAATTTTTCCTTCTTTACCCATCTTCAATAAATAGCTCCTTGAAAGAAGGAAATGAACTTGAACTTCTAACACTGAGGATTTAGATTTGATAGAAGGAAAAACTTTGAGAGTGATAATTTGTTGAAGACCAGGATAGGTTACCAAGAGAGAGAGTTGTTATAACCAGGTCAAAGCACTCTTTTTTTCTGGGTCAACCCCTGGGGACATGGAAATAGCTTTGTTATACAGAACCCTTTTTGCATGTGGTGATAGTTCATTGTAGAACTTTCTTTTCATGGTGTGTGCTTTAAATATGTTTGTTTCCTGCCCTGCATTAACGTATAGTATAAAATAAGTTTGCGTTCTGTATACTTGGAAAGGAGGCAGGAGATGTTTTATTGGCGGATGTTGAACACTTTCTCATATTTCACAGCTCAAAGTTGGTGCTCTTTTGTAAGGAAAGCCTCATAATATTACCTACAACCATTTATTTCTGTAAAAGATCGTTTAAAGGAGCCCTTGAAATCCATATTTTTTGCTTTACAAAAGAAATTATCAAAAGAAATATTCTAGGATAGGTGACCTAAAGTAAAGTACCTGTGTTTTTTTCTCCCTCATTTACACTTCTGTATTCTTGGTTGACATTTTAGGGCAGTGTTGGCCAGGCTCATTAGAAAAGCAAACCTAATAAAAGATTAGTAATATTCAGTTCCCAGATATTATACATTTTGAAAGTAATGTTAACTAGTGAATTTAATCAGTTAGTTCCAGTTGGACATATTTACCTTATTGTTTGTAAGGATGCTTCCAAAGACTGCTTCCCATGTTCCCTTGAAAGGCATGTAGTTAGTTATTCAAGTTTAGGCTTTGCACTTCAGACAACCAGATGAACACTTTGGAAAATCTTTTTAGGATTTATAAAATGTTCATATGAATAATATCTGTTGAATAGATTTTTTGTGCCTTTATAATTCTTGTGGGGAGTTTTCTCATATATTAAGCACATTTAAAAACACGTCAGAAGTATATCATGAAAAGAATAGGGATCGTGATTCAATAGCTTTGTAGTGTGAGTCACACAGATCTCTGATGTCTCGGTGGCTGTACGGAGTGACACAGCTTATGAGTTAGGTTACTTCACTGTGATCTGAAGAGGAACAGACCTTCAAATGAAGTCAGTCAAATTAAATTATGTTGTAAAAAAATAAGTGGATTGTGTCTGGACTCCTTGGTGGTATATTGTTTTATATTAAGATGTACCTTGTTTCTCTGTTAGTGAATTATTTTGGTGATGTGGAGCCTTCATGCTACACAATTGGCCAAGTGCTTGGATACCCAAGACAGCTGGGCTCTGAAGAGGATTGAGCCAGACGTTGTAAAGTTAGTGTCTTTACTTAAAGCTTATCAGCTATACACTCCTTACCTAGATACAAAAGGTCGTTTCAGTTGTTGTACAATTCACTCCATCCCTTTATTAGGATAAATATTTGAGAATGGGAGATAAATAAGTAAATTTTGGATCAGATGAGGAACGTACCTTAAAACCCCACCAACATTTGTGTGTCAGGGAACTGAATCAACATGTAATTTCTTAAATTTAAAATAAAAGTACTTGCTGAAAAGCAGGTTAACACTAAAGACTGATTAACTCCATAAGAAGCGAAGTAATACTTTTAAATGTAGATAATATGAATTTGGGTTAACTGTTTGGAATAATGACTTAAGGCCAGTGGATGTTTGTGTAAATTATGTGCTAAAACTGACCCTTATAAAATACTTGTATTAGTCAGATTAGGGTTTCCATTTATGGTCATATCAGTTTTTCCATTTGATTTTAGGAATTTGAAAATTGGCTATAAAAATGTGCTTCAGGTAAAACTCGAAGATAAGCATCAGGGGGCATGTTTTCTTGGTGACTGTTTCTGGGAAAAGTAAGTATGTGAAATGATGCAGAAAATCCATCTAGACAGTTAGGGACTTGCATTTCTTCAGAGAGGGAAGATAATATAGATAAAACTTTCTGTGAAGGTCCTCTTGCTTCATCTTCTTTGTCATAAGAAGGTGACTACTCGCATTATTTGTTACTTTTACTTGAATACAAATAACTGCTTTTGCAATGACAATGTATTTTAAGATCATTTCTCAATGATTTTGGAAAAAAATTTGGCTACTTTCAAATAATGCTATAGGAACCTACGGGCAAGATTATAGTTATAATCCTGTAATACTTGGACATAATTGGAAGTTTTGATTTAATAACAGAGATAATGTAGGATTTTAGGAAGTTTGTGTCTCCATCTTTAACCTCTTTCCCAATTTCTACTCGGGTACTCGACCC